TAATCTTTAGGAGAGGGTAAGCTAAATCATCTACTTTTTTACAAAATTTTTCCTGAAAAAAGTGAGAGGTCAATGAGAATATGTAGAGTTCTTCTTATAAGTTTTATAGTTATATAATCCAGTTTTCTAGTATCTACAAGATATTTCTGCCTAGAGACTTTGCTCTACTTGTTCCTAGAATAGACCTTCTAGTTTGGATACCAAATGTGTTAAAGAGTCTGTCGAAGAAAGAAAAACTTGACTCAAGGCACAAACCCATCTAATATTCTTATATATCTGATCCTCAGTATTTCATATATTGTAAGCTTTGTCGATAACAAATTTGCTTAGTGCAAAACCAGGAATATTGTTGTGTTCACTATATTGCTTTTCTATATTGCTAACTGTAGTTCGGTAGATTGTTGTTGACCAAGTGATCGTTGGAAAGAGTTTGTTTTTTTATTTTTAATTTATTTTCATGCTATTATTATAAAAACATATTAATAATAAACTATTTTTAAGTTTTTAGATATATACCACTTACTATACAATATTACCAATATGATTCTATTCAAGTTCATGAATCTTAACATTTCTCAAATAATATCATTTGAGAGCATAAAGTTAAATTTTAGTTGATTCTAGATATATTGAATCACAGATCTGGTCTAGCATAAAGTAAGTAATAGTACTAATAATTAAAAAGCTTCACCAAATAATCTTATATATGTATATTTTTGATACTTAGGTAATCATGAATTCTACTACTATGATTTGATAAAGAACTAAAAAGAGTATTTGAAAAGTATAAAGAAGTAAAGATTTCGAGTAATAATATAATTTTGGTAAAAACTAGAGGTGCAGGTAAATTGCTATAACTTTTGCTATCATAACCTGTTATAATATAATAAAGTTATAGCAAAAATGTTATAACTCATTATAATTATTACATACTAGATAAATGCAAAACATTGTTTGTCTAGAACTTATTTAAATATATTAGATTCTAAACTTTTTTGTATTAAGTTAATTATTTTTGAGTCTCTAATTAAAGTTGTAGAGCTCATTAAGACGATTCTAATGATAGTTAAATTATTAAAATCGGCTTAGTAGATTGTAAGATATCTTCAAAAAATGATTTACTGATATATAATAAGAAAATAAGGTCCTAAAAAAGACCCTATTTTTAATATAGCACAAAAAACCTCCTTTTTTTTTGTAGATTAATGACATCTAGAGTGTAGAATAAGAAAATAGGGTTTGAAAAAATGTTACTATTTTTAATATGTTACCAAAAAAAAGGTGTAAGATAAGCCTAAAATTTTGTGTAATCTTAAATCATGTGAGTGGACAGACAGAAAATGCAAAGTTACTTTTTTGATATTTTAATATTTGATGCATCAAAAAAGTATTTTTTGTATTACAATGCATAGAAATAAGAGTCTGTCACTTTGTTTTAGACAATTATAAAAGTAGTTACAGCAAAAGTTACAGTATTGTTAGAATGTTTTTCTTGCATCATTAGTAAAAACTAATGCCAGTAAAAAAAAGCTAATAAAATTGATGAAAGGCGAGAATAATTATTAAAAATAATAAATAAATAAATATCAATTTATTATAAATTTATTTATGATCCAAATTAGTTTTTCAAATGTTAAGAAATATTATATTAAAGCTTTTTTTTTATTTATCTAACTAATTACCTTATTCTTCAACTGATTATTTTTTTACAAAACAAATCAACAATAAATCGATCACTATATATATTTATTTATACTGATCTCTTTTATTATTAATATACAATATATCTATCAAATAATAATTTAATTTTAGTTAAGACAACTCTCTTCAACAATCAATTGTACTAAACTTATGACTAACGAAAACAGAAACTTGTTGGAGAAAAGTAGAAAAGACAACTATAAATAATGGTTTTTATAGAGGTTAAGGTTTTCTCTAATCTCCTAAACTTCTCTGTAATATTTAGTATACAAATTAAAAGCGTTCTTGTATAAGATAACTGGCAAGAAGATAGTGCCCTTATACAGAAAATTTTAATAGAAGCTTTGCTTCTGCTAACGAAGTTAAAGATAGTTGGTCTAAGAAGAACAACAAGCAAGTTTTCAATACATTCCTTACTGAAGTTTAAGGCTACTTGCAAACTGAAACCCTCTTCCATACTTCACTTTTTTGGCCTTTATGAAATTTCTCCAAAAAGTGAGAAAAATAGCATATCTTCATCAAAGGATCGACAACAACAATCGTTACTGAAAAAAAATACTCGTATATATATACGTATATGCTTTGAGTTATAGTGTAAAATACTTTTCCTCAAGAGGTTGCAGTGGTTATACCAAGAGTGCCTGATTCGCCAATGTGTGTTAATGGACAATAGCTTGTTAACTTTGTTCAGGAAGATACAAGTTGAAACATTACAAAAGGTTTGCTGACAGGTTTAGGATAGCATACAGAAGTTTTGACACTTGGAGCTCTACTTCAAGACCAGATAGTTTTTAATATTTTTACATCCTAAATATAGACATAAATAACTAGTATAAAGTTTAGTCTAGTTTATTTGTAGTACTATCTAATTATTACAATCTAGCATAGGTTTAATAGTGCTATCTTTGTTTCTTTTCTTTTGTTTCTTTTCTTTTTGTTATTTGTTTTATTTGTTTTATTAGTTTAGATAGACCAGAACTCGATGCTATAATATTTTCTCATTTTTGTTATGCCCTTTATATTTGTGTTTATATTTCAATTTGTAAAAAGAAAAGCTAACTTTGATATAGTATATGGCACTAGCCCATGACTAAAGGATAATCTCTAGTGAGTTAAAGGCCTGGAGAGAGGTTTGAAGTCCACTGAGGCAAGTCATATCTGGCAAAAGTGTGGATATATCACTTTACAAGTAAATTAGTATAGCTAATATTAGAGAATATAAATTTTTTAGTATAGTTTAATCTGCAAATAAAAAGTGGTAGGACTGCCAAATTATAAAAAAAAATAATAATTTAATCCCAGTAATACTCTAATTATATGAGTGTTGCCAAAGGGAATAAGACTTAAGCTTTCAATTTTATCATTTATTATTCATTATATTTGATGTGTAATATATAAATGCTATCAAGAAAAATCTCAAATTCTGGCTTTCAATTACTGGGTATTTGATAAGTTTCTAGACAGGATCTTTTTATTGATCACTAAATAAATCACTAAATCACTAAATAAATCACTAAATATAAGTATAAAATAAAAAAAAAACCAATATAAGCAGAGATATAAAAAAGGTTCTGTCTAGAAACTTATCAAACACCTGGTATATTTTGTATCTAAAACTTAGAATAAGATAACTTCAATCAAAGTTTTAGATATGAAATATAATTGAAAGCCAGAATTTTAGCAGCACTCATATGTTACTAATTAGATTTTTGTAAGCTGAATCTGGTAAATAATAATGGCATATTTGAAAGCTAGAGTCTTACTTCTCTTGGCAGCAAATTATATGAATCTGGTTTTTTTATGAAAAATAATATCATTCTAGATACTAAAATACGCAAGATCTCTTTTATCATCTTAATTTAGTGTGAGAATATAAAGAACATAATTTCATAAAGGCTTCTAAAATAGACTATTTAACAATCTTTCTTAAAATAAGCAATTAGTGATAAGAGCATAAAGATTATTACTTAATAATGTATTTAACATACTTAATACTTATTATTAAACAATGTTTTAGCTCAATTTAATATATTAATTATTAATTCAATATATCCATTAATTTTGATAATACATATTATTATACAATATTTTATGCATGTTAATTTATAAGCAAATATGAGACCTTTGCTAAAAAAATAGAGTTCAGAGGTTTCTCTAACCAAAAACGAGATTTTATATCCAGTATATCTTATTATATGGCATAAAAACTTTATTTAGTATTATTTTTATAATATATTGTTATAGTATTAAAGTAAGTTATTTCATCTCGAATTTTTGAATGAAGAATTTTTTTGAAAATCTAAAAATAGAATCGATATACATCGATCATATGATTAATGTTCATCATATAAATATCTCTCATGATTATCATACATACATAATACCATTATCGTTAATAATAAAAAATTTAAAGTTCTCTATATTGGAAAAGCTTTACATATATCGGCCTTTGAGCTTTACTATAAAAAGATTTTAATGAGTCTTCGCTATATCAAAGAATTCTTTATAACAAGAGTAACTTTCATTATCACAATTTTCATATTCATTTAATATTTTTTATTTGAACAAATATAGGGTTCAAAGTCATAATGAACAGCATATAAGGTTTTAAATTTATAACTTACCAGATTTAGCTTCTGACAAATTTAATTAGTTACAAATAATAATTAAATTCCTAAATCTATTTTGTACTGATGCTGAACAAATAAATTTGTTAGATGCAAATTCAGTAAATTATAAAATTCAATCTTGAAGTTTGATTTCTTCTAGCATAACTCAAATATGACAAAGATATCAGTTTTTTCGTTATACAGCAGGTATGTATATTTTATTTATTTTGTTTTTATTTATTTTTTATTATAATTATATTGAATAACTTATCTGTTTTTTTGCTTTTTGGATTGCTGCTGATTATGATTGCATCACTATTACTTTATCTTTTTATTACTTCGTTATGAATTTTATTATTATTGATTTTTATTTATTAATTCCCTTTATCGTTATACCTCTTTACTATTTATTTATTTATTAATTCACTTTATCGTTATATCTCTTTACTATTAATTCACTTTATTATCATACCTCTTTACTATTTATTATATGAGTACCGCCAAGAGAAAACCCACCAATCTGATTTATGGGTTTTCTTTTGGCAGCACTCATATTTTATTATACTTTATAGTTCATCATATTTCATCTTTTACTTAACTATTATCTTGTTTCCTGCTATAATTTATATATAAGTATGTAATTATTTATATTTATTGATATTAAAATGGTTATTTAGAAGATAATTAATCTTATTTATCTTTATTTTTAGTTTTATTTGGCTTTATACAATATAAGTCTTTGTACGGATCTTCTATATATTGCCTAATCTTTGTATATAAGTAAGATTTTCTTTCATTAATTAATTGTTTTGTACGTATAGTTTCTAATGGAGTATCTATATCAAATGTTTTATTATTTAGCAATTGAAAAGCTATTTCTATTTCATCTGATTCCTTTGACGTATAAACCTTTCTAATATCTGTAAGCAAATTACTAAATCTAAAATGATAATATTGTGTTATGTAGGGAAAGTTTGTAAAATGGTTTTTTAAATAATAAGATAAAATTATACCAAGTCTACTCCAAACCATTATTATATTAAATTGTCTGATTTCTTTTTGCTGAGTTGTTTATAATCTCTTCTATGTCATCTATAGTGTTAACTTTATGATTCCTATATTTTTTTTTTATTTAACCAAAAAATAAATCACATATAAATTTTGTATGGCCTAGAATCATAAAATTTACAGTAATCTCATCATACCAGCCTTGCATTATTAGCTAAGAATAAAAAAAAAGTGTTAAATTATTTTTGTTTTGGCCAGCGCAATTGTTACTAATTATATGTGGTTTTTTTTTCCCAGTTAGAGCAAATTTTTGAAGAAAATGATATACTATATTAAGTGTAGTATTAGAACCTTTTAAAATACCTTCGGAAATTTTATTTTCACCTATTATAAAATTTAATTGAAAGTTTTGACCACTCTTAGTTTTACATATGCCAAATAAATATATAGAAAATGGACTTTTAAAATATATTGATCCTATTTGTTGCAGTGAATATGGAATTGATAAATTTTGTGCCCAATCGTAGCATACATGTGCAACAGATAAATTATTTTTACTTTCATTTATATTATTATTGTAATGTTCTCTTTCTTTTTCAGCTGCTTTATAATATTGATCAAATTGATTTTTAATTTATTCATATTCATCTATATTAGATTTTGCAACAATTAATTTGGCTTTAAAAGTTTTGCAAATTTCATATAAATCGCTTGCAGGTGATTGAAACTTAAGTTGCGATATCATCTCATACCAAAGTCTTCTAAATATAAAATAAGATATAATATTTTCAGTATTACTATGGTTACTATAAAAATGTTCTTTAAACTCGTTATAAATAAAAGTATATATTTTGCCTGTTGGTAAATAAATATAA